GACCCGCCGCTGAGAACTGAGTGGCCCGCGCGGACATATCGTGAAAGGAAAACTCCGATATGCGAATAAGAAGAAATCGAGCCTGGCACGCTACCAAGCTCACCATAGCCCCCCAGAGCCTCCATCACCCAAGACCTCCGTTGAATTAGTCATAAACCATGTTGGTCGCCACACCCCAATACAAAACGCGGTATCTTGCTTGCGCCTTTGTGTTGCTAGCCAGCTATGAATTTCCTTAAGAGCGCAGTGGGGGTCAGGTACCCTGCCCCGCCAAAAGTCCAAACGAAATCGATCATTGACAGTCGAAGTGTGGCGTTCGTATCCATTATGAAGGGCAAACTCCACATCACATGTGTCACATCTATACGGACGGTCCACTGTGTGCTGATGTGCCGTCGCAGGCTCCTTGGATCTTGGGCACCTTCCACGTAACATACTTTGAGCAACATGATCAGACGCATGTTTTTTTTTAGAGATGTTGAAAATCCTTGTCAAGTTTTTTAATGTCCGTGACCATCTGCTTGAGAGTTGGCCTGGCGCAAGAGGAGTTTCCTCCTCGTCTCGATCTCAACGCCATTCCCTATCGACGTTGCGCACATACGGTGCAGGAGGTGCTGGCACGTGCCCTTGCTCAAAAGGACCAGGTGGAGGTGTTTCTCCTCCTGACCCCACCCTACATCTCCATTATTCCTCTCCATTATTCCACCCCCATCCTGTAACGCTCGTCCTCCTCCACCTTCGCGCCTCCGTATGGTGCCTCCTCCATGTGCTCCAGCTCCTCGCATATCTCCTTGAATGCCCCCCCTTCCACACCAGCCCCTGTGTTGCACAGCGCCCTCTGCCAGGGGCCGCGAGTAGGTATCATGCTGGCGGGGACTGGTGATCAAGGCCTTCAATGTCCGGGGTGCTCCCCTGATCCTCCTCACCTGGGACATCTTCGTTTTCAGAAGCTCGCCCCTGATCTCGGGGTCGCAAGACTGCGTCGCAGGACGTTGCAACAGTGCAGGCCGCACATCGGGCACCGCTGGATACTTGATGCACGTAGACAAGTCCAGGAGAAGTCGGCTCTACCGCTGATGCACAGAACTCCACCGGCGGTAGCAAGAGCGCCACCCAGCCTATCACATAATTTCTGCCCATCCCACTGCGCAGCGCCAATCAGTACAGACAAGAAAAAACACGTGCCTCTCTGGAAACCTCACAATCTCCTGCCACCATCCCAACCTCTGGGCCCTCAAGCACTGAATGGTGTCTGAAGTTTTAGCATGCTCCCGATCTCCACATTTGGGAGGGCCGCGTAGTGTTTAGCTCTCATCTCCGTTGCCGCAACTTTGAGACACCCTTTACTTTGTATAGCACGCCGTGCAAGTTTAGCCTGAATCCCTTACGGGTGCTGAAGCTGTACTTCTTGTAGTGGTAACGCCACCACTTTTAGCAAACAGAGAACCGTCGGCCACACTCTTGAAGACCACCCTCTTCCACCTCTCGCAGTGACCTCCTTCCAGAAACTCCCCAGTACATCGAAAGCTCGCTTGGCACGTTTAGCGCGATAGTCGATTTCAGGCTTGCAGCTACCTTGATAGTGCAACATCCCACCCACGTATTTCGCGTCCCTCTTAACACTCCCCGTGATCAGACGATGGTTCCTGTACGAATCCCTCATTTCGTTCTGTGTCCCCCTCACCTTGAGATTACCGACGGTGCCTGCTCCCCTCTTTTCAAAGCCACTCCAAGTATACTCAGTTTGAGGCTGAGGCGCTCATACATAGCATTGGTACGCGCATGGCAGTGACCAGCATCTTCTATTGCAGACGTCCTCGCCGCACCATTTGAAACATACGAAAGCGCGATATCTACACAGTCAAGTGCCACCACATGAAGACGCAACAACTCATGGTGTGCATTATGTAATTCGTTCGTCGCGTGACATAGCGTGGTAAGACTTTCTATCCTGGACCCGTGCAAGCGTGCCTCACATGCTCCCTGCGCAAGAATCGCTCCCTCGCGTCTTTTGCCGCGAATGTCGCCAAACGAGTTCACTCGATCTGCATGCGCTGCCAGTCCAGGATACAAGCTTTACAAGTATCCGCCGTAGTATATCTGTCCGAATGAATCAATTGAGTGCGCAAGCTTCTTCCCTTGTGCTCACTTTTACCACTCAGCCTATGGACAGAAAAGGCTTGGCTCTGGTGCCACTGCGACGGGGTGTCTCCATGATGCCTCACGGGGACACGCATCCAAGGCAAGCAACGTGCCTTGCAAAGACATGGCTGATGATCCTCATCATACATTGGCGGCTACCGCGACCGTGAGTGGCGGTGGTCGTTCGGGCACATTAGCGGGCGCCACACTCTCATTGGAAAGCTCCAATGGGGCGGCGCTCGCCTGAGTTTAGCCCTCCTGAGCATCTCGCGAACAGCAATCACATCTGCTTGTCCTACTTGCGACGTTGAGACTTTTGGGCCAGGGCGAGGGGGGCGCTCCTCACGCATACGCCTCACTTCCCCCTTGGCCCCCAGGCTGCTCCAGGAACTCCATCCACGCGCTCGTTCCCAGCGTGGTCCGAGGGGCATGCGACATCCTCCTCTTCGGCACAAAACCATTTCGCGCAAGGGGTGTAGAAAGTTTCCAGCACAGCGCAGTGCCGCCAGCTTTCTTGGCCTCGCATTTCAAGGCACGCGGCGCTGAGGCGAGGGCCACATTCAGAAAGTTACCCGCCGTCCACCTTGGAGGCTGTCACAGTCTCCTGCCACGAATGCGCGCGGCGCCGAGTCGAGCGCCGCATGTCGAAACCCACCCGTCCTCCACCCGTGAGACTGTCGCGAATGTCAAGGTTCAGTATCCCCAGTGGTGAGGCGAAGCGCCCAGGCCACCCTGCCGACAAGCTTGGGGGTGCGTCGGGGAGGAGTTGTTGTCCTGGCCTCCAGCCGCTGCCCCCGGTCCGGGGGCGGCTGGATGCCCGTGTGGGGGCTCTCTGGAGGCAGTTTTGAAGCCTACTGGGCGCAGTTTTGCGGCCTCTTGGGGCGTCTTGGGTGCCTCGTGCGGGTCTCTTGGGGGCCTCTTGTGGCCTCGAGGGGGTATCGTGGGGCGGAAAGCAGGAGCTATCGGCCTCAAGGGCCTCTTGTGTCGCTGTCCTGGGGCTTTCTTGGGCAGTCTTGGGCTCCTATATGGCGGTTTCGGGACTCTCTCGGGGCGTCTTGGGACGGTTTTCGGGAGTCTGGGGCCGTCTTGGGAACTTTTTGGGGCGTCTTGGACGTCGCGAACATATAGGCTTTCCCGAAGGCATTGAATAGTTTTTGCCTCTTGGCGCCCTCGTCGGGGTACTCTTGGAGGTCTCTTGGGATGTCTTGGGCGCTTTTGCGGCCGACTGGAGGCTGTCATGGGCGTCTGGGCCCGATCGTTTAGCGATTGCGCAGGGCCTACGAGGTCCCGAGCTGCACATCTTGACGTGCTCGAGGCCCCCCAAGAAAGCCGAGCACAGGCGGAGCAGGGGGGTTCCCCCGGCCTTTCCCCGCAAGAGCCCCCCCCCGCCCCCCCCCAGCAGAGCTGAAGCTCAGGCTCTAGGCAGTAGCTTAGGCCTTTTTGAACCTCGCACGCCGGATCGGAGGAGGAAACGGGAGGGATGATGAACAGGAGTAAGTAGGAGGAGGAAGGAGGAGGAGGAGGAGGGAGGAGGAGGAGGAGGAGGAGGAGGAGGAGGAGGAGGAGGAGGAGGAGGAGGAGGAGGAGGAGGAGGAGGAGGAGGAGGAGGGAGGAGGAGGAGGAGGAGGAGGAGGAGGAGGAGGAGGAGGAGGAGGAGGAGGAGGAAGGAGGAGGAGGAGGAGGAGGAGGAGGAGGGAGGAGGAGGAGGAGGAGGAGGAGGAGGAGGAGGAGGAGGAAGGAGGAGGAGGAGGAGGAGGAGGAGGAGGAGAGGAGGGAGGAGGAGGAAGGAGGAGGAGGAGGACGAGGAGGAGGAGGAGGAGGAGGAGGAGGAGGAGGAGGAGGAGGGAGGAGGGGAGGAGGAGGAGGAGGAGAGGAGGAACGGGAGGAGGTGGTGGAGGAGGAGGAGGAGGAGGAACAGGAGGAGCAGCAGGAGCAGGAGGAGCAGTAGTTGGAGTAAGGATGAGGATGTTTTTTGGGGGTTCTAGCCCCTGCTCCTTCGTTCTCATCAGTCCTCCCTTTTCCCTCTACGTTCTCTCCTTCCTTCTCTTCTCGACTAGGAGGTGGCATTACATGGATCCAGGCGCTCCGATCGCCCATGCGCTTGACGAGGGCCCCCGGACGGACATGTGTGATGCCCACCTCCGGCCGTTGCTTCCGATGAGGTCGGCTACGCGCAAGAGTGACCTCTGGCTGGAGTGACCTTTGGTGTGGGTCCGCAGGTTACCAGCCTGGAACATATCCCTATCCCTATGCTGGGCACCTCCTCATCACGATGCCGATCGTAGGGATTCCCTTATTTTTTGAGGGCGAATCCTTAAGATTGTCATCGCCTTTTGGCGTGTCAATCTTAGGGATAGGGATACGTTCGAGGCTGGTAAGCAGGGGCCCTCCAAAGCCCTTGTGTGCGCGCTTGGATCTGGCCCCCTGCTTGGCATCGCTCGGGCGTTTGCACTCTGTGCTCGGCGAGACCAGCGCCAGAAGATATATGGACCATCCAGGCGTCTTGCGGAACAACATAACACACTCACGACACCCAAACATGCACGGGGAATGGACGTCCGAGCGATGGCAAGCCCGAGGCCGCGCAAGGAGGCGGAGGAGGAGGAGGAGGAGGAGGAGGAGGAAGAGGAGGAGGAGGAGGAGGAGGAGGAGGAGGAGGAGGAGGAGGAGGATACTGAGGAGGAGGAGGGGAGAGGAGGAGGACGAGGTGGAGGAGGAGGGGGAGGAGGAGCAGGAGGAGGAGGACCAGGAGGAGGAGGAGGTGGAGGAGGAGGTGGAGGAGGAGGAGGAGGAGGAGGAGGAGGAGGGGGACCAGAGGTTCCCTTGCCAACGGGCCACTCCTGCGTGCAGCCGATGAGGCGAGGCCGCCACGCCGCCTGCTCTGCCGCGGGCAGCCCGAGCGCGACCTGGCGGCCGAACGGGCCGCCCTCCGCGAGGGGCTCGGCGCCCTGGCCGGGGAGGTGAGGCTGCTCCGCGAGGCCCTTCGTGGGGCGGGGGCCGCCGCCGCAGCGCCAGTGGCGGCGCACGAGGCGCCCCGGGCTCGGGCGTCTCCGGCCAGCGGCGGCAGAGAGCAGCCGCTGTCAGGCGTCGGGGGCGCCCGAGATCGGCCGTTCGAGGGCGGGGCCCCGAGGGAGAGAGGGGCCCTCGGGGCGAGCGGCCCCAGGCAGCGAGGGTTCGGCTTGGGCTCCCGTTCCTCTCCTCGGGGCCCCATCCCTGAGGGCCACGTCGCTGAACACCCAACGCGAGGGAGGTGGGGCCTGTGTGAGTGGGTGTGGATTTCCTATGCGGTCGCAGTGAGCACTTCCAGCTGCTGCTCGCGCCTGAGGACCCTCTGCGCCGCTGACTTAAGAGTGGATTTCCCATGGCCGGGACCTCGAACTCTTCCAGGCTTCACTCCGACAATTTCTTGCCTCGTTCAGGGCAACGATAAAGGGGGGATAGGCTCAGGGGGGGAAACATCGAGCTGGAATCGACGATACATCGCCGAGAGATCGGCGACCTGGCCTCCGATCGCGAATCCGTACGCTCCTCGGCGGGGACGGCTATCTGGCCCCTGTCGGCGACGAGTCGCCGATTCCAGCTCGATGTTTCTCAGGAGGGGAAAAAACACACAGACACAATTAATCGTCGATTCCCAGGAAAATATAGGAAAAAAAGGGAATTGGGCGGGAAGACAAAAGCCCAGAAAATATAGGAACATATAGGGAATCTTTTTATTTGTGTGTATCTATTTGTGTGTCCCAGGGCCCCTTCAGTTTCCCCCAGAGCCTATCCCCCTCTGTCGCTGCCCGCCCCCCCCCCCCGTCTACGCGGACGCTTCGGACCGCGGAGCGCCAGCCCCCCCCCCCTTGCCGCTCGGTGCCGGCGCATGTCCGGCCAGGCGCACCCCCCGCGGCCGCCTCGACCGTGAAGGTGGTGAGCGCCGGGAACGAGGCTCGGGGGCAACCTTAGGGGGGGATGCGGTCGGGCACTTTTCGGACGGGGCTCGGACGAGGATGAATCCTCTCCAGAGGGTGCCAGAGCGCTCTCTGAGCGTTCCAGAACGCTCTGAGAAGGCCGGGGCGCGCGATGCATCTTCTAGAGCCGCCAGATCTCAGAGATTCTCGATATATCCTCATCTTCACTTTTGGATAGCGTCTTGCTCCGCCAGTTCTGGCTCACCATGCTTTGACGCGACACGCTACCCACTTCCCAGTCGGGAGGCGTCAACGTCTCGAGCCTTTCCCAGCCTCCCGCCCCGCGGAGCGGAGCGACACGCCTTCCGCTCGTAAAGGACAGCGTGTCGCTGGGGCCGCCGCCGCGACGCGCTGTGCAAGAGTGCCTGATCGTAGGCTCAGCGGGGGGATGCACCGAGGAGGAGGAGGAGGAGGAGGAGGAGGAGGAGGAGGAGGAGGAGGAGGAGGGAAGGAGGAGGCGGAGGCGAGAGGAGGAGGAGGAGGAGGAGGGGGATGCGCCGACCCCCAATCGCGCACTCATCGTCGACACGGGTTCCACAGCCTCATCCCGCCCCGGAGCGGGCGGCTCTGTGGTCGGGGGCCGACCGCCGATCTATCGGCGGTGCATCGCCGAATCCCCCCCCTCCCGCCTTTCCTGGCCATCCTCCTCCGCCACCTCCACCACTCTCCCATCATCTCCTCTTTTCTTCCCCGCCCTCCTCACCTCCCCATCTCACCTCCACCTCTCACTCTCCTCTCCTCCTCCTCCACCTCCACCTCTTCCTCCTCCTCCTCCTCCTCCTCCTTCTCCAGGTCGATGTTTCCCCCTCTGAGCTGGCCCCCCCCCCGACGTTCCCTCGTAGAGGCGGGGAGCATCGCCGACTTCTTCGTGGACGACCTGCCGCTGCACATGAGCGGCCCCGAGGGCCGGCGAGGGCTCAACGTCGTGGTCGTGGACCCCGGAAGCGGGCAAGTGCTCACCGCCAAGTCGTACGACATCTGGGGAGACCCCTCTGGCCAGAACAGGCGCTTCGCCGCTGACATCGGCGGCCTGCCCGATGGCCAGGTGGTGCTCGTCGCGCTGAAGGACTCGGGCGGCGAGAACCTGAGCCTGGACGCGCTCGAGGCGCTGGAGAGCGTGGGCGCGCTGCTGGACGAGCGCCTTGGGTTCCGCGAGGGCTACGCGCTGATAGGTCGGCGGCGGAATCCGAACCGATCGATTCAGGCGACTCGATGGGCGGCGGAGGTCGGGTTCGGAATTCGTCGAACACGTGGCGAAGTCCGAACCCTAATCCCACCGCCAATCGATTCGGCAGAATCGAGTGTTGGTGGGGGTAGGGTTCGGATGTCGCCACCTACTAGGCCAGAAGGGCGGCAAGCGGCTGGCGGAGAAGTGGGGCGGCAGGGAGCGGCCGATCCTCCTGGAGGCGAGCCTGCCCTTTGCGGTGAGGCTCCGTGCGCCGCGCTAGCGCCGCGCCTGGGAGCGCGGCGGACGGTGTGCTGGCAAACGAGGGCGCGGAACGCCCGACACGCCGGCCTGTATTGTTGCGCCGTCGGCTCCACTATCCGAGGAGGGGGTGGAGGGAAGGAGGACGACGATGACGACGGTGGTGGTGATGCCGACGAAGCTGCGGCTGCTGTCGCTGATGATGTGACGACAGTGAGGATGACGACGACGACGACACGGACGAGGATGAGGAAGAGGACGAGGACGAGGACGAGGACGAGGACAAGGACGACGACGCGACGACGACGAAGATGAAGACGATAAAGACGAAGACGATGACGACGAGGACGATGACGACGGCAACGACGACGATGCGACGACGGGAGAACGAGGACGAGGACGTCGACGAAAACGACGACGAGGAGGAGGAGGAGGAGGACGTCGACGACGAGGACAGAGGACGAGGACGCGGATGAGGACAAGGACGAGGACGAGGACGATGACGACGGCGACGGCGAGGACGAGGATGAAGACGAGGACGAGGACGAGGACGCGGACGAGGAAGAGGACAACGGGGACGAGGACGAGGATGATGAGGAGGATGAGGATGGTGATGATGGTGGATGGTGCCGGTGGTGGTGTTGGAGGTGGTGATGAGGAGGGTGAGGGTGAAGGTGAGGATGAGGGTGATGATGATGATAATGCAGCTGCTGATGATGCTGCTGATGCTGCTGCTGATGCTGATGATGATGCTGCTGCTGATGATGATGATGATGATGATGCTGATGCTGATGGTGATGGTGATGGTTGGCGATGGTGGTGGTCATGGTCATGGTCATGGTAATGGCCGGGCACGGCAGCAGCGCCACGGCCCGGGCGTGCGCCGCCGCGGCCCGAGCCGGAGCCGCGCCCCGGCGGAGCCCCCGCGGGCCCGCCGGCGGCCCCGCGCTCCCGCATGGCGGGCCCCGCGGTGGGCCCGCGGGCGCGGCGGCGCGCGGCGCCGCAGGCGCTGCTGGCCGCAGGGGCCGCGTGCGCGCTGCTGCTCCTCGGCGCGGCGGCCAGCCACGGCTTCGCCGTGGCGCCGGGCGCGGCCCCGCGCGGGCGGGCCGGGGAGGCCTGGGCTCGGAGGGCTCGGAGGGGAGCAGGGCGAGGATCGGGGCAAAGTGCACCTGCATTCGGAGAGGAGAAGGCGCCATAAGCATGCACTCTTGGCGCTCCGCGCAGATTTCTTGGGTCGGCGCCTTGGCCCCCTGGGCGGCGCCTCCGGCGCGGCGTCTGGCGCGCTCCGCGCGCCAGGGAGGTGGGTCCGGCACAGATTCAAGGAATCCGCGCGGAGCGCCAAAAGTTTTTTTTTTTTTTTTTTTTTTTTTTTTTTTTTTTCTATGCATAGCGTTCGCCCCCCCCCCCCCCCCTCCTCTCCCCTCTCGCCCCTCTGCAGACGAATGCCAGCGTGCAAGTGCCTTTCGCCTTGCGTGATCTCCGCACGTGCCAGTCGTCTGCGGCTTGCTTCAGGCTGAGTACCCCCCCCGCTACCCCGTCCATGCAAGTAAACTTGCTGGGGTCTAGTTTTTGCATTCAAGGAACGTTTCTGGAATTCAAAAACAATTTTTTTCAATCCACAAACCAGTTTTTGGAATTCAAGAGACGCTTGCGAGAGGGCGTCGGTTTCGGTCCGAGGCCGTTTTCACTAAAGGGTGGTTTACTAAAGGGAGGTTCGCTTGTTCACCGCCGAAAAAAGAGACAGGCTCCAGTTCGAGGGTCGCGGCAGGGCTTCGGGCCAAGAGGTGCTGGCGCTGCCGGTCTTGCGCCTCGCGGGCGTGCTCGCCCGCGGGCCCGGGGGTCCACCGGCAGATCGGTGCAGCCCGAAGAGTGGCGCGTGAGGGCTGGTTCTGGGGCTTCAGCCGCGATGTTTCGCAAGGCGGCATTTTTCGGGGGCCCCCAAAAGGGTATGGTGACCACACCGTGCGGTGAGTCGGTGGGGATTCGGGGTCACCGCACGGTTTTGAGACTCGGGTCATTCTCCGAGGACTTCTCGGGCGACAGGGGCCTCCAGGGTCCCAAGACCGTGCAGTGACGGACCGTGCGGTGAGGTCTTGGGGGATGTGAAGGTCACCGCACGGTCTGTCACCGCATCGTTTCGGGAGTCCAGATTTTTTTCCGCAACGTCGGATCTCAGGGGAGGCCAAGCTCAGAGGAGGGCGCGGTGAGCCAACGGTAAATGGGCCTTCGGGAGGTCCCCTCGAGGCGCAGTTCGTAGAACTGGTGCGTTTGGACCCTGGGAGGTGTCTGGGGGCCGATTTGAGCTGCCGTTGTCTCAGTTCGCCCTGCTCCGACCCTGCCTGGTGGATCCACACGACAGGGCTGGGCAACGGCACGTAATTATGGCACTCATATCTCTGGGGGGTCCAGGGCCTGAGGGAGCGATCCTCCAAGGAGTAAGCAACGAGGCTCTGGGGCCTGACGAGGGGGAACCCCTCTTTCCCGTGGTCCGACCTGGTGAGCCCCTTCCCTTTGGGCTAATCTTGCTTTGCCAGCTGCGCGCTGCGGCCTCCCTGTCCCCCGATCCCGACATTGCGGACCCCTGCCTTCAGCCCCGCACCTTTTTTTTACTGCCACCTCACAGGCCTCAGAGTCGACCAATGCGCGCGGCCTCGTCCAGACAACCGCCAGCGGGACCGGCTGGGGGCTTCAAAGCTTGCCAAAAGCATGCTCGTGCGCCCGTGGGCCTCTGGAAGCGGCCAGAGCCCGATGTCGCCGCTCCATCGATAGCGTTTTGCTGCCCCATGCGAGCCGAAGCGCTGAGCTCGCCTGTGGATCTGGGCGTCCAGGGGACTGCAAGAAAACCGCAGGCCTTCCAGGCGTCGTGGAAGCCATACCAAGGAAACGCCTCCACGAGGGCAGCTTGGAGACCTCGGGGAGGCGGCCAGCTATTCTGAGGCGAGCCTACCAGACACTCGCGAAAGGAGGGCCCTTGTCCGAGAGGACGAGACTGTCTCTTCAGTGGGCCCCCCTGCCCGCCTCCGAGGTGCAGTCAAAATGTGGCACACGTATTGTTGAGTCCAGCGTGTCCTTCTACAGGAGGAGCATTCGAAAACAGTCAGAAAATAGTTAAGGGGACGATTCTTCGACAAATTTCGAGCATTTTTTTTAATTTTCGCCCAACGTCCGCCTGTAGGAAGGAGGACGTGCCAGACCTGAACGTATTGTCTGATCCTGCATACCGCCCGTGCCCTTCGGTTCCGGTCGCAAACACTAAGGGAGCCTGGTTTAGCGTCGGCTCGCGTCGATTAGCGTCTTGGAGTCCATGAGATAGCTCAGGAGGGAAAAAACACACAGACACAATTAATCGTCGATCCCCCGGAAAATATGGGAAAATATGGGAAGTGGGGGGGAAACAAAAACCCAGAAAATATGGGAACATATTGGGAATCCTGTTATTTGTGTCTATTTATTTGTGTGTCCCAGGGCCCCTTCAATAGCTTCGATTCAGCGTCGGTCAGCATTGATTAGCGTCGATTCAGCGTCGGTTAGCGTCGACTAGCGTCCATTGGCGTCGATCCGCAAGAGCCGACAAGATGGTGCGGGAGGCTCCCATGAGTTGCCACCGGACTTCGGTGCTGTCCTCGTGACCCTCGCTTCCTTGCCCTCGCCACGGCGTTCGAAGGATCTTGCAGTTTTGTCGGAAGGGCTTTGCCCTTTGCCGCCGGTCCCCCCTCATATCACCACTTACCAATCCACCCCAACCCAACCCGAAGGCCCCAATTTGCTTTCTATTCCCAGTGTGGGGGGTTTGGGGAATATGGGAAAACACGTATGAAGTCTGGACCCCCCTAACCCGAAATTCGGGTCTTCGGGTTGGGTTGGGGTGGTCTGGTAGGTAGTCGTCAGATTGCTTGAATGGCCACGCTTGGTTGGTCGGTTGGTTGTCTTTTTGGTTGGCTGGCTGGCAACTGGGCTGTTTGGCTCGTTGTCTCCATAGATCGTGAACGGTTGCTTTGGGTTGTTTGCCGGCTGGCTGGGGGATGGTGGCCTCGGGAGCGCGCTTCGAATGCGATTAGCGCGGATTCGCGGGGTTTGGCCCCAGGAGCTCGGTTCCATCACGGTTTGCTGGGACTGGCCTCGGGGGCGCGAGCGCGAAGGCGCAGAGCTTTCTACGTGGTTTGCCCTCAGGTTCTCGATGCCACCATGGTTGACAGGGACTGTGACCTCGGGGTCGCGACTCCGCCGGCAAGCGGCGAGGGGCTGTGCCCTCAGGAACGCGAGCGCGCTGTCATCAGCAGGAGGTTTCAGTGGCAACAGTAGGGGGGGATACGGTAGAGGGAAACAATTAGTGAACACCCCTCCTGCCCCCCAAACTCAAGGTTGGCACGCGCGGGGGAGACTGCGGTCGAGGTGCAACTCATCAGACCCACCGCCAACTTTGAACATTGGGGGGAGGGGGAGGCGTTCACAGATGAATGTGGCATGAGTGTTCGCTATTTTTTTTCCGAGGCCTGTACGCCTCGACCCTCAATCGCCCATGGATCGCCGATAAGGGGCCCGATGGCCCGAGCCTGCCGAGGAACGTGCGGATCCGCGATCGGGGCCACGTTCGCCGATCCAACGGCGAGTATCGCCGATTCCGGGTCGATGTGTCCCCCTCCCCCCGGGGCTTTGCCCCCTCCTGGCCTTGACGTGAGGCCCCTCCTTCTGCCCCCCCCTCGTTAATTCAAGCTGTGCGCGGCCCGCTTAGCTTCGACCGGAGGAGGTGCGCTCTCCTCTCGACCCGCGAATCAAAAAATGTCCCCCCCCCTATTCCAGTCACCCCCCATCGTCGCCCGGCCCCGAGGCTGCGAGTCCGTCGGAATTCGCGGGCGCCTGGCCGGCATCGGGAGCGCGAGCGCGCAGCGATCCGCACGTGGCTTCGGGAGCGCGAGCCTGCTGCGATCTACAGGGGTAGTGACCTTAGGGGCGCAGCTCTGTTGGCATTCAACAGGGACTGGGGCCTCGGGGGCGCGAGTATATTGTACTTCACAAAGTCTCAGGAAGCGCAAACACGCCGCCCGAAGAATGCCGTCCGAGAAGCGCCGTCCGAGGAACGCCGAGGGCTCGAGCGAAACGGTGTTTTGGCAATTTCGTGGATCGTTTTCGTTTTGACTTCGTTTTGCAGCAGATGCGGAACGAAGACAGAGCTAGGGCTCACGAAGACAGAACGAAGACGGAAAACACTGTTTACCTCGAGCCCTGAAAAACGCCGTCCGGGAGCGCGAGCGCGCTTTCATTCACAATGGGTTGTGGCCGCCTCGGGAGTGCGATCCCGTGGTAGTTTACGGGGGACCGTGGCTGCGCGAATCTGTAGTGTTTTGCGGGTCCAGGGGCGCTCCCATGAATCCATACACAGATTACGTGATCCTCGGGAGGTTTTGTGGCGCCTTGCGGGCTCCCCACCTCGCGCGGACTTCAATCATTACAGCGCTGGAACTAGACGTAAGTCGGGCCTGTCCCTCTAGAGGAGGAATATTCAAAAATAGTCCTACAAGAGTCAGGGAACGTTTTTCTGATTACTCTTAGTTTTCGCCTCAAATCCGCCTGTAGGGGGACATGCCCGACCTAAAACTAGACACTGAGCAACTCAACTGGGAAGCGGAGCTGCTGTGGGGAGCAGGACGTCCCAGGCCGCGCAGCTTGTTGGCCTCGAAGGGGCTGGCGGATTCTGTCTGCCACCTGATATGTGGAGGGTTTCTCTGAAGGGCTTAGGCGACCCGTCCTCCTCTCTCCTCCTCCTCCTCCTCTTCCTCCTCCTCCTCCTCCTCGCCCTCCCCTCCTCGGATCGCCTACGGCCCCGGGGGAAACCGTCCACTGATATGGCATTACTCCACCCCCCGCTGGGCTGTGCTGATCGCTCTGTCTCGAGTAAGCTCTGTTCCCACATGAAGTATCCTCGACCGTGGTGCCGAAGCGTCTCTCGGGTCGCTGCTCGAAGGCCACCTTTCAGATCACGGGAAACGGGCCCTCGGCTCGCGAATGTGCCGAAAGCGTGTAGCTGTCGACTCACGGGCGGAATGCGAGCGGCACTGGGGCGGGGCCGCACCCTGGGAGCAGCCGATGCAGCTGAAGGGCGCGGCAAGCGGGTGGGGGGATCCGCCCCCCTCCCCCCCCCTGCGCCAACGCGTCGTCATGCTCATGCTCATGCTCGTGCTCATGCTCATGCTCATGCGCATGTTCGTCGTCGTCGTCGTCGTCGTCGTCGTCGTCGTCGACGCGTTGGCGACGGCGGCACGGGCAACCTGGGCTGAAGACCACAGGCGGCCTGAGCCAGGCCAGCATCCAACGACCTCCGCGGTCGGGCTCCGCAGATCGCCCAATTAAGGCTAGGCGACCCACGCCGTGCTCAGGTGGCCTGCGCTCCCCCTGAGGATGAGGAGGAGGAGGAGGAGGAGGAGGAGCAGGAGGAGGAGGAGGAGGAGCAGGAGGAGGAGGAGGAGGAGGAGGAGCAGGAGGAGGAGGGGGGAACGGGTCGAGACCTCTGGGGACCAAACCACGACATCGGCTCTGGGGGCCTCTGGGGACCAAACCAAGGCCCTCGGCCGCGCCGTCTGACACCCCAGGCCTCCAGGATGGGGTCCGAGTGGATGGGGTCGGAGCACCGCGCCGCATCGCCGATGCAGCGGCGGTGCGGCTCGATGCGGAGCCCGATTTTCTCCACGCCGACGTCGCCGATGCGTCGCCGATGCGTCGCCGACGTCACCGAATGCATCGCCGATGCACCGGCGATGCGGCACGATCCTCCGACCTCATCTACTCGGACCCTATTCAGGAGGCCTGTAGGTACGGCCCCGCCGCTCGGAATTCGAGGCCCCACCAGCGACCCCATGCTGCCTACGGTGCCCTTCTCAGTTATATGCATACATATACATATACACATGTCTGTAGAATGCATACGTAACACATACGCGCATACATACGCACGACCATGCAGTCATACATGTACATCTATACATACACACCCTCATGTATACATCACACATACATACATACATATGTACACACATATACATATAACATACATGTACAGTTACATCTACATATACATGCAAACACACATACCATATACGCATACGTATACACATATGTATACACACACACCTACACACACATACACATTCGCATAGGACTACACATCCATACGCATACCTACATATGTATTTTTACATACATATATTCAGGTACACATACTTCTACACACATACACATATACATTTATATTTACATGTGCATATCCATATACATACACTTATCCATATACATTTACATTCGCATATCCATGTACACGCATATACATATACACATACATGAAAGTACACACATACATATCTACATCTATGTCTACAAACAGACTAACACACAGCCACATACATACACACATGTCTACGCACATAACATGTCTATGTGTATGTAAGTACACATACATACATGCATACATGCATGCAGGCACACACACATACACACATACACACATACACACATACACACATACATACATACACACATACATACATACATGCATGCATGCATGCATACATACATACATACATACACACATACTTACATACATACATACATACATACATACATACGTACATCCATACATATATACATACATACACACATACATGCACACACACACATACATACATACATACATACATACATACATACATACATACATACATGCACACGTACATACATACATGCATACATACATGCATACATGCATGCGTACATACACAACTATACATTCACACGTGCACACATATATGTCTATACAAATATTGTTATGATGCCTTGACTTTCATCGACAGTTATTTGTTCGGGGCGTTTAGCTGTCACGGGCGGCGAATAGGGGGTGACTGGTGGACGGTTGGCGCGGAAGGTGGGCTCAAGCCGCCATCCGCTGCCGATCCGCCCACCTCTTGGCTGAGGCAGGCGCCCACACGAACGAAGGGAGCGCTGAGCGGGCCCTAAGAGAGGCCAATGGACTTCGGCATCGCTTGGACGTGTGCACTGTTGCCTCGGCGAGGACCGCCGAGGAGCATCCTGGCTTCGGCGAGCAACAGAAAGCAGAAATCCCGCGCGGGAACGAAGCGTGCACGGGGAGTACGCGCCCCAGCGACGGCAAGAGGAACGCCTCGCCACAGAGCCCAGGGAGCGGAGGCCCATAGCCCAGCGGCAGAAGCCAGCGCCCGCGCTGCAAGCCGGCCGCACACCCAAGACATTCAGCTGCTCCTATTTCTTCGATGCGTGGGCATCGGAGGTCCAGACCATTTTTTGTTTGTTTGTTTGTTCGTTTTTCCCTACCTAGGCTCTGCCTAGAAGGGTTCTTACTCTCTAGCTTAAAGGGGCCGGGCAGTGGAAAGCGCCCCGGGCGGTTCCCCCAGTCCCCGCCCCGCGGTTCCCCCAGTCGCGCCCCCTTAGCTTGGCTTAGCTTATCTCGTCTTAGCTTAGCTTGGCTTAGCTTAGCTTGGCTTAGCTTAGCTTAGCTTAGCTTGGCTTACCTTAGCTTAGCTTAGCTTAGCTTAGCTTAGCTTAGCTTAGCCTAGCTTAGCTTAGCCTAATGTAGCTTAGCTTAGCGTAGCATAGCATAGCATGGCATAGCATAGCACAGCATAGCATAACATAGCACAGTATTGCATAGCATAGCTTAGCATAGCTTAGCATAGCGCCCCCTTAGCTTGGCTTAGCTTATCTCGTCTTAGTTTAGCTTGGCTTAGCTTAGCTCGGCTTAGCTTAGCTTAGCTTAGCTTGGCTTACCTTAGCTTAGCTGAGCTTAGCTTAGCCTAATGTAGTTGTAGCTGAGCTTTACCTTAGCTTTAGCTTAGATTTAGCTTAGCTCGACCTTAACTGTAGCTTAGCTTTAGCTTAGCTTTAGCTTAGCTTTAGCTTAACTTTAGCGTAGCTTTAGCTTAGATTTAGCTTAGCGTTAGCTTAGCTTTAGCTTAGCTTTAGCTTAGCTTCAGCTTAACGTTAGCTTAGCTTTAATTTAGCTTTAGCTTAGCTTCAGCTTAGCTTTAGCTCATTGTTAACTTAGCTTTAGCTTAGCTTTATTGTTACTACTAATGTTGCTTTCCTAGGGGCTCCAACTCCTAGGTAGGGTCGCACTGGGATAATTTTGGGAGAATCAGGCAAGTTTACTTGCATTGATTGCGTTCCCCCACGCGCTCCCCCCATCGCCCCTCTTCAAACCAATAAGTAGCGTGCAAGTGCCTTTCGACTTGCGCGATTTCCTCACGTGCAAGTCGTTTGCGGCTTGCTTCAGGTCCAGGCCCGCCCCGTCCATGCAAGCAAACTTGCCGGAGTCTCAGGAGAAGACAGGCTCCCTCTCCAGGGCCGGCCTTCCGACCCGCGTTGCTCTCGGACGCCCCCGCAGCCCTATCGAGGGCCTCCAGAGGCCGAACACAGCCCCAAAACCGCCTGCTCCGATTCTTCCGGAGCGGCGGATCTTCGGGAGCCTTTCCCCGGCCAGGAGCGGCCTGGGCCCTCCGCGCGGCGCCCCGCGCGCCGCCGGCGGCCTCGCCGCGGCGGCGGCCGCGGCCCTGGCGGGCGCGTGCCTGGGGCTCGGTCCGGCGCGGGCCGGGCCGCCCGCGCCCCTCGTGCGGTGCCGGGCGGCGTCCACGGGCGACGTGAACTACCTCGTCCTGCTGACCAAGGCTCCTGGCGCCAGCACCGCAGGGCAGGGCTGGGCCTGAGCGCTGTTCTGCGCCGGGCTTCGGCTGTGTTCTGTTTCTCGTTTTGGCGGGGAGGTGCAGGAAGGCAAGGTAGAGCGGAACGAAAAACAAGACGAGCACAAAGCGAAGAACAACGTTTGGGGCCAGCCCTGTCGCAGAGCGGATTTCGTTCGGAAAACAATGGGATGGGCCCGAATTGTCTTGGATAATTTCGTTTCAGATTTCGAGGTGATTTTTTCGTGCGGATTTTTTTGGCCAGGAAGGAAGACTGCAAGATATTCACGTGAAACTCACTTCGTTTTTCGCCGTTTTGGGGTTTTGCATTGGCAGAAATCCACGCGCAAATCCGCTGCAGCACGTCTGCAAGGTCGGTGCAATGACAAGGTCGGCTGCGAGCGAGGGTCTGGGCCTCCTAGATGTGGTCGGAGTAGATGGGGTCCGAGGACTGCGCCGCATCGCCGATGCATCGCCGATGCGGCTCGATGTGGAGCCCGATCTTCTCCACGCTGGCGTCGCCGATGCATCGCCGATGTCGCCGATGGTTCGCCAATGCATCGGCGATGTATCACCGATGTATCGGCGATGTGGGGCGATCCTCCGACCCCATCCACTCCGACCCCATCTTGGAGGCCTCTAGAGGTGGGGAATCGGACTGGGCTAGGGCGAGGACGAATCCGTTCCAGGGCGTTCTGGAGCGCTCTCGGAGCGTTCTGGGGAACGCTTTGGGGCGGCGCTGGAGACAGCTCCAGAGCCGCCGGATCTCAGAGGTTCTCGTTTTATCTTCACCCGAATTTAGAATCGTTCTGGCTTCGCTTTCGGGAAGTGAGGAGGAGAAGGCCTTCTCAGAAGGCGGCTGGGCTTCTCAGAAGCCCTCTGGCCTTGTGAGAAGTGTTCTGCGTCTTCGGGGAAGGCTTCGAGATCTTCTCGGGAGGCTGGGGGACTTCTGAGCCTTCTGAGAAGGCCTTCTCCTTCTCACTTCCCCCCCCCGCGCTCGCCGCCGGCGAGGGTGACCTCCCCAAACGCATCCTCACCGTGCTGTTCCTGCTGGCCCTGTGCCGCGTGGGCTACTACATACCCCTGTACGGCTTCGACGTGGACGCGGCGCAGGAGTACTTCTCTCGGCAGGTCCAGGGCCCGCCAGCCTTTGGGGCCCCCAGTGGCCCCGATGGTGGTGGTGGGATCAGTCGAGCGGGCGATCAGTCGAGCGGGCCATAGCTAGGCTTAAGACGGGCATGTCTCTCTACAGGAGGAATATTCCAAAATAGAGTCAAAAAGTAGTCTGGGGACTGTTACTCGACTGTTTTTGATCATCTTTTGATTCTTTACTATGTCTTCTTCTTCTTCTTCGTCTTCTTCTTCTTCTTCTTCCCAAATCGTCCTGTACGAGGGCATGCCCGACCTAAAGCTTGGCCAGTGAGCACCCGTTGCCGTGCACGCTCCGTTACCGATCTGAATGTGCTTCTTTTCTTCACGTGCGCCTTCCCAGCAGGCTCGGTTCGCCGATCTCGGCAGTCTCCGTCGCCCCGCCAGGGCTCTGGCCTTGTGTAGCCTGGCTCCCGTGGAGCCCCAGGGGTGATGAGGAGGAGGAGGAGAAGGAGGAGGAGGAGGAGGAGGTTTTCCTTTGTGGAGCATTGGGTATTTTGGTGGAGGTAGTGTTTTCGAGCGGGTGCGGCGGCAGGCGTCCAACAGCGGTATCGGCTTCATCGACCAGCTGTTCGGCGGAGGGCTTGGCAGGACCAGCATCTTCAGCCTGGGCATCGGGCCCTACATCACGGCGTCGATCATCTTCCAGATCCTCACGACGGTAACCCCGTCGCTGAAGTCCCTCGCGCAGGGAGAGGAGGGTGAGGCTGGCAGGGAGACGTACAAGAACTACATCAAGCAGTCGGCCTTCGCGCTTGGGTGTATCCAGGGGTACGGCCAGATGACGCAGCTGCAGCCCTTCGTCTTTGACAACCAGGGCTTCTGGCCACTGCAGATCACCCTGCAATTTGCCATCGGGGCGCAGATTATCCTGTTCATCGCTGACAAGATTACGGACCAGAAGCTCGGGAACGGGACGTCGCTGCTCGTCTTCAGCAGCATCGTCGCGAACCTCCCCCGCACTGCTGGCACCATAGTGGCAAAGGCGGCCGAATCGGACACGAGCAGCTTCGCCGGTGGCATCTTCGGCGTGACACTGCTCGTCACCATCCTGGGCGTCGTGTACGTGCTCTCCGCGGAGAGGCGCATCCCCATCGTCTTCGCCAAGCGCCTGCAGGACGAGGCGAGCGGTCAAGGCGAGCGGTCGGGCGCTCACGATGCCTGCCCGCTTCCTCTCGCTGCTCCGTTGCCGCTGGGCCCTTCCTCACTCCTACTCTCCGCGGAAGGCGGCCACACACCATCACAATCCCTGGCCAGGGCCACCCTGAGCTGATGTGCAAATGTTCCACCACTATCATCGGTAGGATGGGGGAGACGGAAGGATGAGGAGGTCCTCCTCCTCCTCCTCCTCCTGCTCCTCCTCCTCCCGCTCCTACCTATGGTAGTGGTGGTGGAGAATGGGCCTATCATGAGCCCCAGTGAGGAGGGCGTGTGCGCCCATCCGGGGCCCCGGAGGGCCCCGGCCAGGGATTGCAGTGGTCCGCAGCTGTCGCCCTCGGGTCCTCGCACGCCGTCCCCGTCGCCGCCGCGGCCGGTCTCGGCCTGGAAGCTGTCGGTCGGGGAGGCGCTTCCCAGGGAGTGCCAGTTTTTCGGGCGGGCCGGGCGTTTCGCCTGAGACATCCTCACCGTTTATGACATTGAAGCTTAGGCATTGGTAGCAGTTTTACAGATGGAGGGCGGTTCGTTTTCAAAATGTGGCTTTCGCCCTAGTGCCGCGCACATTCGTTTTAAACATTTGCAAGAGTTTCATGGATTGAGGATAGCCTGTTTTCAACATGTAGCTCTCGCCTTCGCGCCGCGCACATCCGATCAAAAAATGTGGAAGAGTTTCACGGATTGAGGATAACTCGTTTTCAAAATGTGGCTCTCGCCTGAGCGCCGCGCACATTCGATCTAAACAATTGCAAGAGCCTCACGGATTCAGGGCGGTTCCTTTTCAAAATGTGGCTCTCGCCTGAGCGCCGCGCACATTCGTTTAACAAAATGTTCAAGATTTTCACCGATTCCCACGATCAACGTACCAGAAATTGTGTTTTGGAAGGATTCAGGATCTTGCGGGTCTCGTCCTCGACCTTGCCCTCCCCCTCGCCCTTCCCGGCTCGAGCCGCTGGCCACGTTAGCTTTCAGGGGTCAGGCTAGCTTTGGCGCAGTGTCGACAGGGTCTGGGTCAGGTTAGGGTAGGGATGGGCCACGTTAGGGAGGGTATGATGATGATAATGATAATGATAATGATGATGATGATGATGATGATGATGATGATGATGATGATGATGATGATGATGAGGAGGAGGAGGAGGAGGAGGAGGAGGAGGAGGAGGAGGAGGAGGAGGAGGAGGAGGAGGAGGAGGCGAAGGAGGAGGCAGGGTGCTTCCTCAGCAAATCATGGGAGCCTTGCGTACCCTCGTAATTCTGTCTATAGCGTCGACGAGCGCCGATTAGCGTCTGGGAGTCGATGAGATGGCGCCGATGTAGCGCCAGTTAGCGTCGATTTAGCGTCGATGTAGCGTCGATTCGCGTCGATTCAGCGTCCATCAGCCTCGATTCGCAAGAGTCGACACGACGGTATGCAAGGCTCCCACGAATGGCCACCGAACGAGGGGCACGTGACGAATGAATTGTCCTTCCACAGGCGGATGTTGGAAGAAAACCCCCGCCCCTCCCCCCCCAAAGAAAAATCGAAACAGCCCAGACAGTCGAAAAATCGTCCCCAGACTACGAATTGCCACCGAACGAGGGGCACGTAACGAGTGAATTGTCCTTCCACAGGCGGATGTTGGAAGAAAACCCCCGCCCCTCCCCCAAAGAAAAATCGAAACAGTCCAGATCGTCGAAAAATCGTCCCCAGACCACGAATTGCCACCGAACGAGGGGCACGCAGCGGGGGTCGACGTTCCGTCTTGGCAGGGGTCGGCCAGTCCCCCCCCCCCGATCCCACCCGGCCGCCCCGGGCTCGGGCCGCCGCGTGGAGCCGCCCGCATTTTTCCCTCCTCGGGGGCAACGTTGGGGTTCCGTTGGGCACGCCCCTCTGGAGGAGTGCCCAAACATAGTGACAACATAGGCCGGGGACGATTTTTCGACGATCTGGACTGTTTTGATTTTCTGTTGTTGTTTTTTTGTTTTTTGTTTTCCTTCCCAAATCCGCCTGTGGAAGGACATGCCCGATCCAACGTTGGGGGAGACGGGCTCCGGAGGGTTGCATCGACCTCCAATCGCCTGCTCATCGCCCACTGGGGTCCCGGCAGCCCACCCCGCCCGGGACCGTTGGGATTCGCGATCGGGGGGCCGATCCTATCGGCGATCGCCGATCCAAGCTCTTCGTTCCGCCCCTGAGCGGGTCCCCTGGTGGCTTGCGGGTCAGAATCAGGAGGGGAACCAAGCACACAGACACAATTGACCGTCGATTCCCAGAAGATAGGGGAAAACATGGGAAGTGGGGGGGAAGACACAAACCCAGAAAATACTGGAACATGTGGGGAATATTTTTATTTGTGTGTCCTGGGGCCCCTGCACTATCGGCGATCGCCGATTCAAGCTCTTCGCTCCTCCCCCGAGCGGGCCCCCTGGTGGCTTTCGGGGTCCGACCTCGGGCCTCCGGCGGCCGTGCGGGACCGTGCGGGGACCTCCGGGAGGCTCCCTCGGCGAGGCGCGGCCACTGGAAGGCACCCCGAGGCTGGAAGGGGCCGCCGAGGACCAACGAGGACGTGTTGTCCCCCTTTCCCTCCGAGCCCCCCTCGTCGTGATCCCCTCTCTCGTCTCTCCGTGCTAGCCTCTTTGGCTTAGAGGCGCCCGAGGCGCCAGGCTGTACTTCTGCCCCTCTCACCGTCCCCTCGCTGATACAAAGGTCCCTGTCCTCTCCCCTCCTGCGCCAACAGTGTGAAGCCCCCGAGCCTCGAACCTTGACCCCGCTCGCGGGAGGCATTGCGCGCCCCCTTGAGGGGGTGGTGGCCCGGGAGGTCGCGAAGACAGCCGCGCCTGGCGCGCTGCGGGGCGCGATGCGCGAAGATAGGGGACGCAGAGCTCGAGCGCGCGCGGAGAATGCCGCGCAAGTTGCCATGCTCCGCGCTGAGAGCGTGGTGTGGGTAACTGCCTGGCGGTGTGTATTTTTAGACGCTGGCTTCATAACGTCCGCAGAGTGGGTCTGCCAGTCCCCCCCGCCCCCCGTAACGGTAACGATCTCACGGGGGGAGCCCGTGCGACTTTTTCTTTGTGCGGTCGCAAGCTAGTCACCAAACATCAGTTTCATCGGCATCACCATCATTATCACCATCATCATCACCATCACCAGCATCATCATCATCCTCATGATTATCCTCGTCATCATCATCTCCTGTTGCGGCCTCAATACATATTTCCTCTTGTGGAGGCCTTGCAACAAATGATTCCAAGTGAGGTAGCCTTACAGAAGGAACTATTTTTCAGACGGTCTTTTTGAAGGGGTTCCTTTTGTGGTGATCGGAAACGAAGATTTCAATTGTGGGATCTTCGCAGTCGGCGGCACCGTGCGAACGAGAATGTTGGATATATAACAGGCAAAACAGGAGCAGTAAACCACACGGGAGTTCGCATGAATTCTGGGACAACCTGTGACTGTCGCTGTGCTAGTTGTGCAGGTCCCCCACACTAAGAATCCTGTTAGCAGCTTTATAATAATGATTTTCGGTGTGGGTATCTAGCAGAAGGATTTTGAGTGTGGTGGGTCTGCAATGGCCTCCACGATCAACATCAAATCTTTGTATAACAGCCTTTGCAAATGGCCTCCTTCTGTGGCGATCTAAGAGAGAGGGAGAGAAAGAGAGAGAGAGAGAGAGAAATATAGAAACATACAGAAGAGAGAGAGAAAGGGAGAGAGAGAAAGAGAGAGAGAGAGAGAGAGAGAGAGAGGAAGAGAGAGAGAGAGAGCGTTTCGCGGGCGCTTGCTTGGAGAGAATGCCCCCCCCCAGAAACCCAGGGAGGGGGGGGATCAACCCGAAAGTGGGACACATCACAACCAAGTAGGATGGATTTCAACCATCTCGGTCCCATTCCCAACCAACTGGTACCAATTACAACCGCTTTTCAAGCTGTTTAGAGGTTTTTAACGGTGTCTCAGAGGATCCTTAGGAGCTCCTTCGAGGCTCCTTAGAAGCTCCTTCGAAGCTCCTTACATGCTCCTTAGAAGCTCCTGATAAGCTCCTTAGAAGCTCCTTAGAAACTCCTTAGAAGCTCCCTAGAAGCTCCCTGGACGCTCCTTGGAGGCTCCTTAGAGGCTCCTTAGAGGAACTTCGCGTGTTTTCTGGAGGATTTTTGAAAGACTGCCGGAGGATATCCGAAGGATTTGTAGAGGATTGTTGGTGGATTGCTGAAGTATTTCCGAAGGATTTCCGAGAAAACCTGGGGATTCCGAGGAGGAGAAGGAGGGAAGAGGCAGGAAACGAGGGAAGCAACGGCCGAGGGCAACGAGGATGACATATCGGGTTTTCGAGATGTGTTATTGTGAACGGTGTGTAGGTTTGTGCTGTGAATATCTGTGGTTTTTTTCGATTTTTGTTGTTGCTTTGCGGTGCTATGTGTTGTTGCGAATTGTTGTTGCAAAACAGCAGCTCCCAGATTCTAGAGAGAAAACTGGTACCCATTCCAATCGGGTCACTCATGTTGACTCCCAGAGATGGCCAGTTGTAATTGTTACCAGTTGGTATTTTTGGCCGGTTGAGAAGTGACCAGGTCGGTTGTAATTGGTCCGACGAAAAGCACGACGCTGAGCACGACGCCGAGTACGACGTCGGCGCCGACGTCGATGACGACGTCGCCGACGCCGACGCCGACGTTGGCGCCGACGACCACGATGCCGTCCGTCGCCGACAACGACGCGTAGCACGACGCCGACGTCGACGCCGACGCTGGCGACGACGACGACGACGAGCACGACGCCGAGCACGACGCCGAGCACGACGCCGACGACGCCGCCAACAAAGACTCAGACGCCGGCGCCGATGCCGACGCCGATGCTGGCGCCGACACCAACGACGACCCCGACGATAACGACGACGCCGAGCACGTCGCCGAGCACGACGACGACGTCGCCGACGCTGACAACGACGCCGGCGCCGACGCCCACGCCGACGCCGACCACACACAGCACGACGCCTAGCACGACGCC